CTTTAAGAAGAGGAAGAAGAAAAAAAAGGTAAAGATAAAAATTATGAACAACAAATACATATCTATCAACAAGTGAATCTAAAAATCAAGTGAATAAAAAATCTGATGAACGGAATAAACTGGCGAGTATAATAGAATCAGGGGCATAGAAAGGGAATGGACTGACAATTCTAGGGGGGAAAGGAGCATTGGGGGTACGGGAAGAGACTGGACAAAAATTGTATACCTATGGATGAGGACAGTGGGGGCGCGTAAGGGCAGAGGGTGGGGTGGGAACCGGGTGGAGGGGAACTATGGGGGGGAAAAAGAGGAACAACTGTAATAATCTGAACAATAAAGATTTAATTAAAAAGAAACTGCTACATAACCTCAGAATCTACTTCAAAGGTTTGTGCTTATTTTTTTTAAAAGAGTGTATCCAAAGACAATGCTTTACCTTGTGCAGCTATAGAGGGCCCATTTATTTCATTATGTGGGCATGGATTGACTTTCCATTTAGATCAAATGAGTTTCCTTCTAGTTACGCTTTTTTATTTGATTTTTTTTTAAATAATCAAAAGAAACCTTTAATGTGTTGGCTCCATTAGCACAAAAGAACTTTGTAAACAGTTCAATGAGGCCAGTTTTACATCAGTGTCTTCAGATGCTTCAAATAGAAAATCAGAATAAGTTAATTATAATAATGGCTTAATTTTTTTGTTTGATTCTTTATGGAATCAGAGCAAAGCTTTTTGATATTCAATCTTGGAAGATAAAACCTCTGACATTAAAATAAATATTACTATAAAGTCAGTTTACAAATTCCATAATTGAATGTAAATTTTTTGGTTTTGTAGTGATAGCATAAATGCAAATTTGGTGGAACACAACATCTGAGTAAAGATAATTTTCTTAGTTAATTGGGAAATTTAAAGAGAAATGTTCCCATCCAGTGTGGCTCAGTGGTTGAGCATCAACCTATGAACCAGGAGGTCACAGTTTAATTCCTGGTCAGGGCACATGCCTGGTTTGCAGGCTCAAGCCCAGTGCAGGAGGCAGTCAATCAATGATTCTCTCTCACCATTGATGTTTTTATCCCTCTTTTCCCCTCCCTTCCTCTCTGAAATTAATAAAATTATATTTAAAAAAAGAGAAAAATGTGCTTAAAATTGTTTGAGGTATGTATATAATTCACAATTATACCTAAAGAAGCTATGATATTTTATTAATCAAAATAAGAGTTGTATGTTGTGCAAAGTTGAGTATTTTTATATATTCATAGAGAAACTAAACTGTAAAATTTTTAAAATTCTTTATTGTTGAAAGTATTACATATGTTCCTCCCCCCCACAGCCCCCCATTGAACTCTCCCAGCCTGCCCCTGCCCCCTTAAATTGCAAAATTTTTACAAGGACACGGATGCTAAATGAAAAATATTCTTTAGCATGGTATATATGTGGTCTGTTTTTTTACACATCAACCAGAATTTTAGAAATATTTGAGCTCTTAAAGAACTATTTTGTATGTCAACTGATGTGTCCTATAATGATCATGAACTTTTTTTGATAAATGAGCCATCTAACTTCTGGTTGACTTTTGTTCAAAATAGTTGAAAAAAATTTTAAGTATCTGAAATATGGAATGCCAAAAAACTTTAGTTTTTGAAGATTTAGTATATAGCAAACAAGAAGATATTGAAACTTACCTCTATAAAAGCAAGGGAATAATTTAAAATATAAAATAATGAGAGCTCAAAATTGTATAAGATTTAAGTTTAAATTATATAATTGTGCTTTAGAATATCTCAATGTATATTTTGATGAAGCTCCTATTTTTAACTTAGTAAAATTTTCTGCTCTACCAGAATTAAATGAGATCAAGATGTTGTAGCATTTAAATTTAGTAATACATTCAAAAGAATCATAAATAGAAAAAAATGAAGTCGAAAAGACACTACCTATGAAAATATTTGGGTCACAATGTTAGTATATTTCAATAGAAAAGCACTGAAACTGAGAATATCCCCCATTTTGTAAAATTGGCTGTGAGCATAATAGGTACACCTCAGCACCTGTACATATTTTCTCAATTAAAAAAATTACGGTTAAAAGAGAAGGATTAATTAAAGGTGTTAACAAATTCAAATTGACTAACCATAAAATGCAACTTTAAAAAAGATTGTGGATAATTTTGTGAAAGTTAAAAAGAATATTTTAATAAAATATTTTTTACACGAATAAAAATTTATTAGAAAAATACAGAGGCATGTAATGAAGACAGATACGGCTAAAAAACTTATTAAAGTATGTGACTATGTATCCAAAATTATTATTCTGCTTATGTTATCTTTTAATATTTAGGTAATAAAGGAGTTTTTTAGGTTGGCTTAATGTACACAGATGTATTATTTTAAATAGTTTCATTTTAAAGGAGTTTGTAATAGAATTATTTATAGGTCTACCAAAATAATGTTAATTTATTGATCAATAAATAAAAATTTTAAAGAAATATATCTGTAGTAATTCTGGTGCCCCCTTTTATTCTCAAAAGTAAACCATCTCAGACAATAAATTACGTGGTCACCCTAATTTTATATGAAGCAACCAGTTTCTTAAAACATTGCCTTTTCACTAATGGTAAACTGGACGGAACCAGGGCAACAATTATTTCATGTTTCTAACAGGTATGTGATAGAGGTGCCCACAGGTATGGAAAGCTAAAACAAAAAGGACGTCAACAAAGAAGGAAAGAAGAGGAAACCATAATTATTTCCTCACACGTAAACACCAAAGTTTCTACAAAGAGATAAAAAACATTACACTAATGTATGGCTCTTACCTGCAAATGCACTAGGAAGATCATTGGAAGTTGGATTCTGAAACTTGATGAACTTGTCTGACCACCATGTAATTCCACTTGATAGCATTGGGACTTTGATATATATAGATGAATTAATATTATATAAAAGAATGATGGTGTCTGTAAAGAAATTAAAAATTGTGTTAGAGATGTAAGCAAGTAATTTTGCACGCTCTGATACGCAAAGCTAGACATGACAAATAAACCAGGGTTTTAGCAGACTCTCAACATGCCTACATGCTATAGATGCTGGAATTACAATACTATTTCTATATGAAATATCTTGCCAAGGCACCAATGATTGAAAATACTCTTAAGCTCCATTGAACTCATGTCCCTAACCACTTTGAAACTCTAGTAAGAAAGAACTTACTTGCAAATGAAATACAGTAAGTCAGTGGATAATGAATACAAAATTATTTAAAAAAAAAAACCTCACACAAACCTGCCATTCTGCTACAGAGATGATCTTCTGAATGTTTAGTTACACACTTATAAAAGGGCACACCATGGAGAGAGAAAAAAAATCACCTACCATTGAACATGCTGTTGGCGATAGCTCCACAAGGACAGATGGGGGTTCCATTGTGGGTCGTTTTGAATGAATCACAGCGTTCAACATCCTGGATATAAGATGATACACTTTTGAGAAGTGCTTTTGCTCAACTCCCTTAGAATGTTGAGAGTGAGAACACTGGCAATGTAAACCTTCCTGCCCTGATTTATTGGCACAGACCAAGATTATGGTCTACTCACTGGTTTTTCCCAGGCTTCCAGCTCACTTAGGCTAGAAAAATCTTTGTGTTTTGGAGGGGTGTGTGTGTGTGCGCGCGCACGCGGGCAGTTTTTTTCCCCTCATTAACAATACATAGTATAGCAAATATGTCTGTAAGAAGGAACTTTACCTTACTGGCTGTGCTAAATATCACCCTAAGTCTACACTGGAATACATTTTAAAACCTGTTTTTATTGAAGTGCAATTTATATTCCAAAAGTATAAAAGTCATCAATCTATAGCTAGATGACTTACTAGTATCTACCTAAGAACCAGAATATATTTTTATTTTTTATTTTTATTTTTATTTTTAAAAAATATATTTTATTAATTTTTTACAGAGAGGAAGGGAGAGAGATAGAGAGTTAGAAATATTGATGAGAGAGAAACATCGATCAGCTGCCTCCTGCACATCTCCTACTGGGGATGTGCCCGCAACCCAGGTACATGCCCTTGACCAGAATCGAACCTGGGACCTTTCGGTCCGCAGGCTGACACTCTATCCACTGAGCCAAACCGGTTTCGGCCAGAATATATTTTTAAAAGAATGGTCGCTAAAAATCATTTATTACTTTAATATAATAATGTCAGTATAAAAAACAGTTTTCTCCTTGTTTTTCTTGTTGGCATGCTAAATATCATCTATCAAGAATAAAGTTTTGCAATCCTAGGACTGCAAGGGTATTCAATTAAATCAAAGGCTTTTATTCAAGTGGAGCCCAACTTCCTTAAACTTGGCTAGATTGACGGCCCCAATTATAGGAAAGACACTGCTAGACACTGTGAGCCAGACTAAGACAAATCCCTCAGAGTTAAAATTTGATTTTACAAATACAATTATTTCCCAGCAATACTAGGAGATATGTTTTCCTAGGGGTTGTGGTAGGCATCAAAGTCATGTGATTTCAAAGCAAATCCATGAAGCATAATTTAAAATTGGAGCCAGTGAGCGTATTTAGGTGTGTGTGCATACTGGGCATGTGAAAGGATGAGACTGGTTCTCTGTGGTCCAGCTCCCGGGGTTTTCGTCTTTTTATCCTTAGGATGTAGCACAGTACAAAATGGTATCAAAATGTATCAAAATGGTTGGTGATTCCATCAACTAAAATGGGCAACTTTAAAGATAATCACAGAAATTACAGGTAAGGGAATAATACTAAAATCTAATCAATGCGTCAACCTAGTATACCATCAACTTTAACAGAAACATAAAATCCTGATTGCGGTTGAAAGATACTTGAAGATTTACCCTTCTGACACATTCATTATTACCAAGATTTGGACAATTCAATATGTATCCAATTTTAATGTAAAATTCTGTCAAATAAAAAAAATGGTTGGTGCATGAAAGGATACACCTTTTTAATCAGGCAAGATTCACATTACTGCTCTGAAGAGGGAAAGTAACTCCTTTTCTCAATAGCAGTTATCCTGAATACACAGCCTCTTCAGTTTATGCAAGAAGGAAATGAACATTTCTATCTGTAAAACCTCAGCTTTTGAGTTAATTTTCCATATTCTCTTTTAGACTGAAAAATCCATCTGGTTTAAAGAAAAAAAAAAGGAGCCTGGCCAGTGTGCTCAGTGGTTAGAAAATTGGTCTGCCCACTGGAAGGTTGTGGGTTCAATTCCCAGTCAAGGATTGGGGTGCATGCATGAAGCAACCAATGGATGTGTCTCTCTCACATCGATGTTTCTCTCTCTCTCTCTTTCTCTCTCTCTCTCTCTCTCTCTCTCTCTCTCTCTCTCTCTCTCTCTCTCTCTCTCTCTCTCTCTCTCTCTCTCTCTCTCTCTCTCTCTCCTCTTCCTCCCATTTCCTGGAAGGAAAAAATATCCTCAATCTTAGGGTGAAGATTAAAAAAAAAGGATATTATGCCAAAGTAAATAAAGCCTTACCTTTATATTTCTACCCATCAGTTGGCTATTACTTCTGGATAGAATATAATGATAGAGGTTCTGATGGAAGCCATATAATTTGTAGTACATATAAACATTACCCTGTAAAGGAGAACAGTGAAAAGTAAGAAGAGAGTAAGAAAAATAAACTGGAATATTAATAAACATAAGACTTTCAAAATATAAAAAGTGGTAAATAAAAAATTATGGAAACAAAGTTTTTTATATCAAATAGAAAACCCAAAAAATCATTATTAAAAATCAGTGTTGGAACCCTGCGGGGGAGGTTAGCTTGGTTGGTTGAAGGGTTGTCCCATACACCAAAAGGTTGTGAGTTTGATTCCCGGTCAGGACACATACCTGGTTTTCGGTTTGATTCCCTGGTTGGGGCATGTATGGGAGGCAACTGGTTAATGTTTCTCTCTCACATTGACATTTTTCTTTCTCTCTCTCTCCCACTTCCTCTCTCTAAAATCAATAAAACATAGCCTTGGGTGAGAATTAAGAAAAGAAAACAGTGTTGCTCGCCCGAATAAAAAAAATCAGTGTTGGATATAATATTAAATGCCAGCTGGAATTGAAAAGTAATTAAAATCCTATATAATAAAGAGGGAATATGCTAATTGACCATCATGCCCTCATAAGAGGGCAGTGCCCACAGCCACAAGATGGCAGCACCCAGTTTCCTCAGCCCTGCTGGGGGCCTCTGGTCCTCCTGCACCCCCCACTGACTAAGGCTCAGGCAACCAGGGCTGGCCGAGGCGCAGGCAGGCCTCGGATGGCAGCTGCCCAGCCACCCAGGGCCGGCCCGAGGCTCAGGTAACCAGGGCTGGCCAAGGCTTGTGCTGCCGGCAGTGGCAGCAGCAGAGGTGTGATGGGGGCATCCCCTTCCCCTGATTGCCGGGTTGCCTCCCACCCCTGAGGGCTCCCGGACTGTGAGAGGGGGCAGGCCGGGCTGAGGGACCCCCCCCCACTGCATGAATTTTCATGCACCGGGCCTCTAGTAAAAAAAATAAAATAAAAATCAGTGTTGGAAAATCCTGGTCTATAAAGCATTATTAAAATAGCCAAATAACTTATTTTTAATGTTTTTATAAGGGCTACTGCATTCCTGCCTTGAAAATATTTTTATAACTGGGCTTTGTATTCTCAATATGTAAAATTTGATTTTACAAATACAGTTATTTCCCAGCAATACTAGGAGATATGTTTTCCTAGGGGTTGTGGTAGGCATCAAAGTCATGTGATTTCAAAGCAAATCCATGAAGCATAATTTAAAATTGGAGCCAGTGAGCGTATTTAGGTGTGTGTGCATACTGGGCATGTGAAAGGATGAGACTGGTTCTCTGTGGTCCAGCTCCCGGGGTTTTCATCTTTTTATCCTTAGAATGTAGCATAGTACCTGGCGTATAGTACCTGCTCCAGAAATGGCAAACCCCTTGGAAAAAAGATGGAATAATTCACTGATCAAAAAAAAGGTGATTTTCACTTTAGTTTTAAGTAGCCTTGTTGCCATGAGAGACATGCCTTTTCATGGGTTCTGCTGTATGAGGCTGCCCAGTCATAGGCCACTTCCATGCTTCCACCTTTATGGTAACACTAGAGGCCCAGTGAATGAAACTCGTGCATGGTGGGGGCGGGGGGTCCCTCAGCCTGGCCTGCACCCTCTCCAATCTGGGATCCCCTGTGGGATTGGGTCTAAACCGGCAGTCGGACATCCCTCTCGCAATCTCGAACCGCTGGCTCCTAATTGCTCATCTGTCTGTGTGCCTGATCGCCCCTAACCACTCTGCTTGCTGGCCTGATGCCCCTAACTGCTCCCCTGCCTGCCTGACCGCCCCTAACTGTCTCTGCCTGATGGCCTGATGCCCCTAACTGCTCCCCTGCCTGCCTGATTGCCCCTAACTGCTCCTTTGCCAGCCTGATTGCCCCCTGATCACCACCTAACTGCTCTCCACTGCCGGCCTGATCGCCCCCTAACTGCCTCTGCCTCGGCCCCTGCCATTGTGGCTTTGTTTGGAAGGACATCTGGAAGACGTCTGGTCTAATTAGCATATTACCCTTTTATTAGTATAGATACCAAGCCCCTGGAAATTCTCTGGGCAGACTTGATACAGATTTTACTAACAGCATATATATTGCTAATGTAGCTGTTTATTATTAATATATGAGCTACCTCCAAAATAATGAGGCCTGTGTCCAAAACTATATGACGGCTTCATTTATTTAAAGTGCCTCCCACAAGTTATGTGCTATGTTCTGTGCCAGAAATACAGAAGTATTCCTTTACAATTCCCCGAGTAAATTTTCTTACACTATGCAAAAAACAGCATTTGGAAAGGATGTTGGCCCCACCCTAAAAACCTTTAAGAGGATGAGTATGGAAAATGGGAGCTGGTACCAGGGCAGACTGGAAATAAAGGTCATGGTAAGTGCGGCCAGTTACAGAAAACAATGAAAGCCAGTGAGCTTAATCACTTGTAAGAGAAAAATCTTTGGAACACCAAGAAGGGAGATGCTGGGCCATGACAGAGGCAGGCTGCAGCATAATAAACACCGAGCCTGGATGTGAAGGTGGATAAGCCAGGCGTAGCGAGAATGACTGATTACATTTCCTCACCCAAAGGGGAAACCTCTATTGTTGACCCTTAACTACAGAAAATATGAAGTCCACAGAAAGGAATTTACCATACATTTTCTTGGAAGCTAAAAAGAGAATTCTACTTACCCAAAGTGATATGTTTATATAAATGATAAAATAAACAGGCAGAGAACACACCACATTAGGGAGAGGAGTGTTTTCATAACCTTTTTTCAATGATTCTTTGTCCAAGTTTTTGCTTAACAAGGCCTTAAAGTCCATCACCTCTTTGGTTAGCCCTGGCGGCACATACTTTTTGGCATTTCTTCTCTTTACACCAGTGGCACTTGGTGCAGGACTCCGAATTTAAGGCAGAGTCTCACGTGGGTTCATCACCAAGCTCACACCATACGTGCTGACTGGCGAGTGAAAGGCCCTGTAATTGCTCTAAGCAGTTGGTTGGATTTGTACGGGAAAGCCTTTGCCTGAAAGGAATGGTTAGCAGCTGTAATACTTCCTTTGCTTTAGGGCTTCAAAGGATGCAGACAGATGGGAACTGAAGCCCTTTAAAGGTTTTGTCCTTTGGATCTTTTTCTTAAAAATGTGTAAGTACTCTGAGCCCCCCCAAGAAAGAACAACCCTGCTTGACAAATTGATTTCAAGTTTTCTGACTTCCAGAACTGTGAGAGAATAAATTTCTGTTGTTGTAAGCCTCCCCTCTAAATTAAGTGACTCAAACTTTTACTTTGGGGGGCAGCATGGAGAACTGAGGAAGCCAAGAAAGGGTACACCTGTAGAGAACTAGAATTTTGACCTACAATAAAAGAATACATTTGTAAAACTTCCCCCACTGACTTTATATAGATTTCAGTTATAACCCAGGTACAACTCAGTAATTTCCTTGTAATTTATACCTGACTTACAAAAATGATTAGAGCTACCCATAATCAATACAGATGTCTTCAGAATATTATCGATACCAACATGCTATCTTATGGGGTCAAGGGGAAAATAAGAAAGATACAACATAAAACCAAAAACGGCCAGCTGGCGTGGCTTAGTGGTTGAGCATCAACCTATGAACCAGAAGGTCAGAGCACATGCCGGGGTTGCAGGCTTGGTCCCCAGTAGGGGGCATGCAGAAGGCAGCCGATGAAGATTCTCTCTCATCATTGATGTTTCTATCTCTCTCTCCCTCTCCCTTTCTGAAATCAAAAAAATATATTTAAAAAAGAAAGAAATGAACTTATAATTAGCCTTAAAAACATAAAACCTAAGCCCCCCTAGAACATAGAGCCATATAATTTAGCACTTTATTTTTCCTCCATTCCTTTACTATTCTAGAAAGTGTTTCCTGAGCATCTACCATGCAAAATATACAGTGCTATGCACCGTGGAGGAAGCAAAGATTCATGTACTCATTCAATAAACATTAATCGAGCCAAGCATTGTTACGGGGGTTTGGGATACAACAGTACAGTGAAAGACAACAAACAATACATCTATATAATAAACTTTTAATTTATATAGTATATTAGAGGTGATAAGTACTATGGAAAAAATTGAACTTACAGCAAAGTAACAAGGATCAGGAGTGCAGGGGTGGAGTAAGTAGACAGGCTACAGCAAGAAATAGGTTGGCCAGCAAAGGCCTTACTGAGGTGAGAACTGAGCCAAGATCTGAAGGAGGCAGGGGAGTTAGACAAGTGGATAGCAAGGACGGGGAGCAGCACAAGAATATGCCCAACTTGTCTGAGGAATGAGGAGCCCACTGTGGTTGGTGTGGGGGTAGGTGGAAGAGAATGGAGAGATTAGGTCAGAGAGGAGGCGCGAAGCCAGATCAGGTGGGCCTTGTAAAGCCTCGCACTTGTTCACTCGGTGGAAAGAAGAGCCATTGCAGGAATTTTTAAGCAAAGGAATAACATAATATGACTTGTGCTTTATAAAGCTTACTCTAGCTGCTCTGTTGAGACACTGATGCAAACAGGGAGACCTGTTAGGAGGCTATTGCAGAAAATCAGGTGAGAGTTGGGTGTGGCATGGGGCTAGGTAGCTGGAGCAGATGTGTGGAGAAGTGGGCAGACTCTGGATACATTCTGGAGGCAGAGCAAACAGGGTGGAATGGATGTGAGATGTTTGCAAGCAGGAGGAGTCAAGAATGACTCCTGGGTTTTGGCCTGGGCACCAGAAGGGTGGAGCTGCTGTCAGCTGAGATCGAGAAGTCTGTGGTTGGAATGGGTTTTTTGGGGGGTGGGGAGAAGTGGGTGTCAGGAGTTGTTTTGGAAAAGCTGAGCTTCACATATCTGGTGATCATCCAAATTTTGACATCAGGAAGGCAATTGGAAATACAAGAGTGGATAGTGGAAAGGAGGTTGGGCTAGAGCTATAAGACTGACGGCAATAGTTGGCACTTAAAGCCAAGAGGTTGATGCCGTTCTAAGGGAGCGAGTGCGCATAGCGAGGAGAATGCTGAAGGCTAAGACTAAAACCCTGCAGACCTCAGCAAAGCGTTTGAGGAAGATGGAGGGACAGCAAATAAACCAAAGAAGGGCAGCCAGAGAGCTAGGAGGTTTTCCAAGAGCGCGGTATCCTGAAATCCATGAGAAGGACATGTGTCAGGGATGAGGGAGTGATCCATCACCTGTGTCGGCCGGGCTGACAAGGAACCAAGGACTCCCAGCTGGATTTATCCACATGGAAGACATTGGCAACCTTGCAATTTCACGGAGCCTTCTGAAACCTTCTTAAGAATTACACTACAGTCTAGGACAGTGATGATGAACCTTTTGAGCTCGGCATGTCAGCATTTTGAAAAACCCTAACTTAACTCTGGTGCCGTGTCACATATAGAAATTTTTTGATATTTGCAACCATAGTAAAACAAAGACTTATATTTTTGTTATTTATTTTATATATTTAAATGCCATTTAACAAAGAAAAATCAACCAAAAAAATGAGTTCGTGTGTCACCTCTGACACGCGTGTCATAGGTTCGCCATCACTGGTCTAGAACCTAGCTTCCTTCTTTCTTTTACTCCCTCCTCCACTCCCTCCTTCCTGCTCCCCTTCCCTCTCCTCCACAGGGGCCAGAGCTGTGTTGTCTGACTGCTCTCTCAGTCTCCTCCGGCTCCCTCCCATTTTTTTCTTACAGGCAGTTCCCCCAATAAATCTCTTGCATGTCTAATCCTGTCTTGGCATCTGCTTCTCAGAGGACCTGGACTAACTAACACACGACTTTAATCAGCCCAAGAGCAAGACTCTCTTAATATTTCTTTGGCATTTCTCACTGCCTCTGACAGCCAGGCCAAGACTTGCCCTAGGGATTAGGCAACTGCATATGTAGAATGAGTTGGGGGGTCCCAAGGAGAGTCCCACCAGGTGTGTGACCCTCTGACACGAACTCACTGTGTGACCTTGGTGCAGACACTTAACCTCTCAGCCCATCAATTTTCTCACTATAAAATGAGTGGTTAGGTTCCGTGATCTCTAGCATCCCCTCTTGAGCTGACATTGGAGTAAAACCTGCTTGATTGATGTGAAGAATTATGTGACAACATTGAGTAGAAAAAGAATTGGAAACTTAGAGACAAAGGAGAACAACATTCCAAATGGAAAAAAGGGGTGAGGAGTCGCACATGAACTCAGAACTTTATATATTTTCAGTTTCAGGAAGCACTTGGTGGAAATCATGAACTTACTGCCAGTCTCCTTGGGAGATCAGCATATAGCCAATTGAAGGCTCTTGATTTCACTTACTTCCATTGTCTCTGGCAGGTAAAAAGGAATGGAGCAGGAGCATTTTTTGTCAAAATTAATGGCGTTTTCCCGAAGTTTTGCACAATTTGCACATATATTTGTGTAATTTATCTGTCAGGTAGGAAAAAGAACAATGAAGAGATTTGACTTTGGGTGGTGGACACAATGCAATCTACAGATGATGTATCATAAAACTGCACACTTAAACCTATATAATCTTGTTGAACATTGTCACCTCAATAAATTTAATTAAAAAAACTACATGAGTATATATATCTTAAAACTCAAGCCCTGAGTCCATCAAGGTCAGGCTGTCTGGGTCAAGGGCATGTTGTCTGGCCACGACTGAAGGGCAGCCCAGTGTACAGGGAGATCTTTTGTGATACTCAGGAGGAATGGGCCTTTCATTTTGGGACCTGTAGCATTTTGCCACTGATCTGGAATTCAGTGTTTTTACTGATTCTAGAGGCCCGGTGCACAAAATTCGTGCGGGGGTGGGGGCTGTCCCTTTAGCCCAACCTGCACCCTCTCCAATCCGGGACCCCTCGGGGGATGTCTCATTACTCTCACAATCCAGGACTGCTGGCTCCTAACTGCTTACCTGCCTGCCTGCCTGATCGCTCCTAACTGACTACCCTGCCAGCCTGATCACCCCTAACCACCTCTGCCTGCCAACCAGATTGCCCCTAACTGCCCCGCCCTCCAACCTGGTCACACCCAACTGCCCCCCCACCAGCCTGGTCACCCCCAACGGCCCCCCCCTGCTGGCTTGGTCACCCCACACAGCCTGCTGTTCAGTTGTTTGGTCACCCCTCACTGCCCTGCCCCTGCCAGCCTGGTCGCCCCACGAAGCCAGCTGCTCAGTCATTTGGTAGCCCTCACTAACCCCCCTGCCGGCCTGGTTGCCCCATGCAGCCTGCTTGTTCAGTCATTTGGTCGTCCCTCACTAACCCTCCTGCCGGCCTGGTCACCCCACGCAGCCTGTTTGGTCATCTGTTTGGTTGTTTCGGTTGCGATGGTCACTTATATATCCTATTGTGATAAAGCCTTCTGCCTGGATCATAAAAAGGTGTCATTAGGAAAGTATTAGTCAATGTCTCATAAGAAGTGGGCCTATGGCCTGAGTCTAATCAGCTTTTTGGGGAAGTCACTTCACTGTTTTTCCATTTTATTGTATGGAAAATATGTATACAAATGAATTCTTCTACATGGCATCTAGAGGACGTTATTAAAAATCACCAAACATAGAAAAATAACTATTTCCAAAATGTAGGGTTACTGACATGTGGCATAAATCTGATTTAAAAACGTTGTTACATTCTGTTTTTTAAAAGTTTAATTCTTTGAAAATGGTAGGGTGGACTTTTTTAAAAAAAAGGGGAGTGTGTCCCAAATGAGCAAGTCCTGTGAGCTCTGGCTGAGGGACTCCGTTGTGTGAAGTCACTTATTCCTGGAGAGAGATGCTGGGAGCTGGGAGGGGCAGCAAAAAATACAAGAAGAAAGGCAATAGGAGGAGTGGGACTGAACCGATCTTCTCCTTTCTAAAGTTCTCCTCAGTATTTGCTATAATCCATTCTTTCAACAAGTTTCTGGGCACTGAACAAGGAAGGGGTTGTGGCTACTGTGACCAAGCCAGGCATGGCTGAGCTCTCTGTTCTTACCACACATTGTCTTACCTACTCTATCATTAGCTCACTGAGGGCACAGATCAACTTTGGCTTATCTGCCTCATCTGCCTACCCCACAGAATTCTCAGCACCTCTCACACTCCTGAATGTTAAATCACCGTCCACAGACTTGGCCTTCACAATTTTGCCACTAGCCATGTGGGCAGAGGGAACAGATCAGCTTTCCATGGCTGCCTGTGGAGTAAAGGTCACACAGTCTGGGATGTAGGCAATCTGCTCAGAGATGATGTAAATAAGACATTTCTTCATTCATTAGGCTGAAAAATGGGCACGGCCGATTTAGCCTTAGACCAACTCTCATCTCCCCTCCTCAGACCAGCTTCTGGGGGTCTCATCCTCCAACAGCTTGTTAATCACATTGGCAAGAGGCTTGTGACTGAGGGGTGTGCCCTTAGCATCAGCTTTTCTCACTGAGTAGAACTTGGTTTATTTTGCTAAGTGTCCCTAATAGGCCAGAAAGATTTGGGTTGGTTCTTGCCTTTCCTAGATTGAGTTGAACTCAGAGAGAGTTCATTTGCAAAGGGAAAGACACTATGCTTGAAATGGGCTAAAATAGAAGACCTCTGCCTTTGGCTCTTCACTTTTTTTTTTTTAAGTCCTCACCTGAGGATATGTTTTTATTGATTGGGAGAGGGAGAGAGAGACACATTGATGTGAGAGAAACATTGATCAGTTGCCTCCCATATGTGCCCCGACCAGGGATTGAACCCACAACCTAGGTATGTCCCGTGACTGGGAATTGAACCTGCAACCTGGTGTATGGGATGATTCTCCAACCAACTGAGCCACCCAGGCAGGCAGTCATTTGGCCTTGCCTCTCCTCCCACCCCTATCAAGTGCTTGCTCAGTCCTCTGCCAACACAAAAGCCTGACTTTCCCAGACCCTGTGAACGAGTATGGTTGAGCCGACAGTGTGAGAGTGATTTGTCCTCATGAGGACATAGGGATGAATAAAGCCACCACACACAGGCTCTGTCACCACGGGCACCTGCCCACTGAAACAGGGATGTTACGGTCTCATTTAGTTCCTGTGGAGGGGTTGTGTTCTCAAATGGACCACTCATTCATAGTCCCAAAGCAGAAAATTCTTAGAAATTGCATTAAACACGTAAGAAGAGACAAACCTCTATTTCCTTGGTGCTCTTTGCAGACAATAGAAGGATGATGCCCATGCCCAGGCACAATGCTCCCGTGGCAAAGAAGCCAGAGAGGACCTTGGAGGCTGAGAGCTGCAGCCGGTAGGCTGGCAATCGCTGCTGCTTCAAGGCAGTGTTGTCTGGCAACAGGGACCACCACACCTGGGATGGCCTGTCCATTTTGGTCCTGCAGGTGACTGAGAGACTTTTAAGACATTTATAACATTACTACTCAGAGTCATCCCCCATAATGGAATACTAACTTAAGAATGAAGTGGACTTTCCTTTGTAGTTACAATCTTTCGGCTTCCTGAATTATTTCTCAAACAGGCCTGACATTCAGCAGGAGCACCACTTTCTTCAATCAGCCACTATGAAGTATATTTTACTTAGGTTCAAAAAGCTCGTGCTAACTGCTGTGCTGAGGAGGAACACTCCCCAGCAGGTGACACTGGGAAGCAGCTCTAATGGGATGAGGTGACTAATCCAAGGCAAGACCTTCCTGAAAGCGGGGAAATGAATTTATCTTGGAAAACCTGCCTAAATCCTTGAAAATTAATACACACAAAAAATATAGGACCTTCAGTTTTCCCCCAAATGTAACATGGATATGATTTAAGTTGGGAAAATGCTCTCAGGTTACAACTAACTTTGCTATTTGTGATCCTGAGAGAGAAGCAAACAGGGATTGTAGAACCCAGATGTCTAATCTCAACAGCTTCCATTTTTTTCATCCACAAGAAAGGGTAGAGTAAAAATATGTAGATTAAAACATCTCTCCTAACCTTTCCCAAGTGCATGCTTTGGAGTAGCCCAAATGAGGCAGAAGAAAAAGACAGATAACAATGATATGTTCAATATTATATTACTAGGGCCCAAATGCATGAATTCTTGCACCTTGAAAGGAACTGTGGGCCCCGAGGCTGCGGTGGGCACAGGGGTGGGTCTCGGCCCCTCCTCCACACCCCCACCCCGGCTCCTGGTCCTGTCTGCCGGCAGCCCTGTTCCCGCTGCTGCTGCTCCCATGTGCTGATGGTGCCAGCCCCGCTGGCACCTGCTGACTGCACAGAGTGATTGGGGCCAGTGCCAGCAGCAGTGTGAGCAGTGGCTGCTGCCCTGATCACCCCTCAGGAGCAGGGAGAGGTAGAGAAGCCCTCAGGGGCTATCGGGGCCAGCAGCCGCTGCTTACACCAGCTGATGGTGCCGAGCGATCAGGACTGGCGCTGGGTGCTGGCAGCGGGTGCGAGTGGGGCCATCACCAGGAGCGGGTGTGAGAGATGGGACTGCCGTGCGCGAGAGCAAAGAATTTTCAGTAACCACCAGAGGCTTGTCCCGATGACAGCGACTGGTGCCCTGCCTTGTTCTGGTGCCCCCGCTCATCTGCTCCACCATTCTGCAGTGGCCGACACCTGCCATGTTTCACGTGGGCCTCCTGGTGGTCAGAGCATGTCATAGCGACTGGTTGTTTTAATGTTTGGTCTATTTGCATATTAGCCTTTTATTATATAGGTTGGTGTTATTGGTTTTGTTTTTCACTTATTAGAAATCTATTAAAATCATTTTCATTAGGATGTTAATTACTCCCTTTTCTTTAAGATGAATTTAAGATGTAGAATTAGGATTTAAAAAAAATTAGGTGAGTTTCTAATCCTTCCTCTTTTATACATTAGGGAGGAAAGCCATGATGGACTATTTTATTTTTATTTTTTTATTAAAGAAGGCAATTACTTTGGCAAATGTACCTAGTTTAAAAGAATATAAAATACTAGTAAATGCAAATACATGTAATAGGAGGTTTCCAATTCAGAGTCAGAACTTTCCACTCACAGAACTGGGGAAAAAGCACAATACCAGTGGAAACTCTTCCACGCCATTAGGATCTGGCTTGGAGGTGGTGACGAGTGTAGTGTGGCTGTTGGTATCAGGCAGCCTTGTGTTAGAAGGCAGTAGTGAACACTTCCAGTTTACATCTACTGTTTGTTTTAGTAAATACACATGGTCAAGAGCTTGGGTTTAAAAGCCAGTAAGTCTATAAGATTTGATTAAATGCGCAGTGTTGGCCCGACCAGTGCCGAGGATTGAACCTGCAACCCAGGTACATGCCCTTGACTGGGATTCAAACCCAAGACTCTTTGGTGCCCGATGCTCTATACACTGAGCCACACCAGCTAGGGCTTTCTTGGGCCTTTTATAAAACAACAAAACCAAACCAACCACAGTCCCAAACTAAAGGAGATTCACAGCTAGTATGTTAGGATTTTCCAAAGAAACAGAACCAATAGATTACATACAGGGTGGGGCAAAAGTAGGATTACAGTTGTGAGTACACAAAATAGAGTTTATTCTCATATTATTATTTATTAAGTATTGTATTATTTTCCATACCAACAACTGTAAATCTACTTCTGCAAGAGAGAGAGAGAGAGAGAGACTATAAGGAATTGGCTCACGTGATTATGGAGGAGTTGAGTCTAAACTCTGCAGAGCTGTTGTCCCCGTCTGAAGGCCATCGGCCAGGGAGCTGTCAGTTGGGGGCAGAATTCTTTCTCACTTGATGGGGGGATGGGGGAGGGGGCTCAACCTTTGTTTTATTTGGGCCTTAACTGACAGAATGAGGCCCTCCCACAGTATGGAGGGTAATCTGCTTCACCACAGTCTACTAATTTAAATATTAACCTCATCCAAAAATACCCTCACAGAAACACCCAGAATAGTATTTGATCAACTAACTATCTGGGCACCCTGTGGCCCAGTCAAGTTGACACATAAAATTAACCATCACAGATAGTAAGAAAAATACTTCTGGGGCAACATGCTTGAGAGACCGACCGCCAGATACACATTTTATTTTTAAATTTTTTCAAATACACATTTTATAAGTCTTTTTGTATTTACATATTTCTTGCTTCTAAGTAAACCTATTTTAAGCATACAATTATACTTCATTTGTTCTGCTTTTCAAGTTTCTAGAACAGGGTTCCTCAACTTCAGCAATGTTGACATTTGGTCCAGATGTCTTTGTGGTGAGGGGCTGCCCTGTAGGTTGTAGAATGTGTAGTAGTATCCCTGGCCTCGACCCACTAACTGCCAGTCACTACCCCCCACTACATACCAATAGTATAGTGGCCCCCTAGTTGTGACAACAAAATGTCTCCAGACATGGGGCAAATTCTCCTCTGGTTGAGAACCACTGCTCTAAGCTGATGTGGGCGTGATGATCTGTTGGCAGCTGTTGTGTTGCAGTATCATTAGAAACTTCAGAGCGTACCTTTTTAAGTCCTTGTTTTCATTTTTCTTTAACCTGTATATATACTAATATAGCCTCCTAGGCATTGGCAGTCATTTTATATATTTGGAGTTGCCTCATATTTCACTGCCTTTTCCTATTAACTGCTGGGATGCAAATGTACTAAATATAAGTGTAGAATCAGGAAGTGGTTGTGTGTGGAGTACACTCACACCTACACATAACTTATATGCAAACATAATAATCATGATGGTCTCATTTTTTGGTTTTGGTAAATCAATAGTGGCTTAGTGGATTGGTCTGAATTTTGACATGCATAGACTGGATGTCTCAATTTGCAACTCTGTCCTCTTATATAATCACTAGAGGCCTGGTGCACGAAATTCATGCACAGGTAGGGTCCCTAGGCCTGGCCAGTGATCAGGGCCAATCAGGGCCTTCCGGCTACTGGCTGGGGCCTCCCTTCATTCAGCGCCAGCCCCTGGTGGTAAGCACATGACAGAGCGAGCGATTGAACTCCTGGTCTCCCGGTCTCACTCCAGAGAAGACAATAGACAATTTGCATATTAGGCTTTTATATATATACTAGAGGCCCGGTGCACAAAAATTTGTGCACTG